TGTTGACCTTTGACATGTTGTTGTTTGCAACTTTGTTTTGATTGTATCCCCCTTTTGATCTGTTTCTTGATCCTGTGTCACCAAAGATTTTCCTGATTGGTTGATAAATTGGGTCAATGTCGATGTGTTTATTGATTGCTGATTGACCTGAGTGCCAAGCTTCTAAAAATTCTCTAGTGTTCTTTGTCCTCCACCTACCCAGTATTTCCACATTGTTCCAATCAAATGTGTGTCCATAATTGTCGGTGTGTATTGTGATATAAACGAAGAGTTGTCGTGGCGTTTGACTGCTAATTGATGTTCACGTAAACGGAGCTGAAGAGGTTGTCCATTTTGTCCTATGTAGTGTTTTTCACAGTTTGAGCAGTTTATTTTGAAGATGATATTTTGTCCTTTGGTCTACGTAGGATTGTTCGAAGTGATTCCGTTGGTCTGTGTGCCACACCTATTCCAAATGGTTTCAGTAGTCGAGCTGTATGCTCCGATATGTCTTTGATGTATGGCAGGATGATGCGTTTATTTGTTCCTGTGCTTGATTTCGCTTCTGATGATGGATTGCGTGGAGAGCCGTCCTTTTGGTAGATAGTCATCAGGTGTTTTTCCTCGTTTTTTTTAGTCCGAAAGAATGAAACTTGGTGTTTTTTTTATTTTGTAAGTTGTGACTATTCTGTGTGTGTTGAGCAAATATAAAATATAATTATTTTCTCGTTTCCTTACTTCAAATGATCACCTGTTTATTTGATATTGTATTTGTCTAACTTTATTGAATGGAATGAAAACCAGTATACAGGTTTTGAGATTCTAATTTGTTTGTCCCTTGACGCAAGTAGTTTGGGATGTTGTTGGTTTTATACTGCTTATGTGCTTTACTGACGGTTGTGAAATCGGTTTATTTGATATTGCAATAAGTTTGGAATTATTCTTTAAATTTTAGTCAACACTGTCGCTATACAAGCATTGATGGAATCCAATCCCGATTGTCACGTATTTTAATGTGCGATAATGAACAAAGATGATCATGAATACTTGTTCGATAGGTTTTCACAACAAATGACCTGCATGTTCCGGTTTTAGTGAAAGAAATGTTCGATAAATTCAAGTAAGGTAAAGGAAGGTTTTACAGTGTATAGCTGAATTTCCGTGACCAGAATTTCTCTTTAAAATGACAACCGACTTCAACCAATATCAGAAGGATTCTAAACATCGAATCGTTTCGTCTTCTTTCGGCTTAAAAAAAAGGTTATTGACAGTTCTGAGCCGACATTGCAATAGACTTGTGTAGCTTTTCGGTCTGAAAGAGGATGAGATGAAAGTGTATGATGCCAAAAATTTGACCTTGTCTTTCTTTGGCGACACCATATTTACACCAATAATGCAGCCATTATCAACCATAAAATGAGATAGAAGTGAATTATACAGCAGGAAACAGTTGAGTGAACCCAAAAAAAGCGATTGTTTTTCATCAAATTATGTTGCGCAAAATTTTTTTAGTGCTCTAAAATTTGTAATCGAAAGGTGTAATCCCTGAGGTGCTAATCATTGGTCTAGGACCTGAATGTATTTGAGCCAAAATCTCAGCTTCAATAAAATAATGAATGTCGACACAAGATAGCCGTTCATAATCTACCTTTGACACCATAGGAAAAGAGATGCTAGAGAACTACTGTGAGTATAGATTATTACAATTCGCATCACATCTCCAAATGATGCTTCTACAGTGGTCTTTTTTGAGACATGTGTTGTATATAAGGCTCATGGCTAACTGTGCTATGATTGTACCACGTTAGCCATGAGATTGGCAGTAGCTGTTGACAAGATCATGATGGCCTTTAAGGAGTTGAGCTTCAAAGAATTAGTCGCAATTCTAATAGAAATAGTGGGAAAAATGTGATTAGCGGGCCATTAAATGAAAGTTATGAAGAACACGCTTCCAAAATTTTACGAACTAATATAACTAAGCCAATACCTAGAACCGTACCAAAAGAATAAGAGCGAGAAATCAATTGGCTCATACTGGCTCTTAAAGAAGATACTGGATATTTGAAGCAGACGACAAATATTAAGACTAAGATAGTACGTTGCGTGTTCTTTTACTGTACGTAAAAAATTCAAAATCTTATACAATCAGTGATATAGAAACCTTCTCAGAATGACAGGTGAAACTGAGGAAGCGCTTAAAATATATTTGGCTGACTACAAGCTTATCGAATCGATAATAAATTCATTTTACAGAAAAATGTAGAACCGAAGAGCAATAAACAAAAATATATAAATACACAAACAGATACAGGAAACACGATCTACTTCTCTGATCTTTTATTGGATAAATATACGAAGTAACAGATATTGCCAAATATGATGAATTCGGCTGACCGAAACTAATGTATGCGGAGAATGACCTTATGATAAAAGGATCAACACAATATGTGAAGACATAAGCATTTGATTAGGCGGAAATGAGAAATATGTAGGCAGCAGTGTGAATTTATGTACTGAACTTGAAAAACATGCAAACTGAGAACAAAACCCGTCGAAGGAAATATAGATCGAATTCAAGTAACTATTTTACAGTCAATAAATTAGTTTACATAAATGATGAAAGACCGTGAATGATGCGGATAGAAACACTAATTGTTTATAAAATGAGTTTGTGTTGGCCAGCAAACAGACGTAACTTTCCTGATGGAGTCTTGATTAAATTTGGAACACTTGAAGTATATCGGGTTTCTGAACAACGTTTAAGAAATAGGTTTGCATACGTTTAGTGTGAGCACTGGTAATCATCGTTTACGAGTCATTGAAGAACATCTGAGGTCACCATATCTAATAGGATGCAAGCATCTTTCTGTAATGCATGATATTTTGTGCAACCGTGAAACAATTTGTGGTCATAAGTTCAATGTTCCGGAAGACTATTATCCGGACTTTTCCCTTGCAAACAAATGGTTTTATTGAATCACTTGACAGATCTATTGCTCTAAGATGAAGTTAAACGCATGATAACCTGTTATTTTGTGGTTATCCCATGAGCATGAAATCCCTGAACTCTTCTTTCTGTTTAACAAAACACCGATCAACACGGTTCCTGGCATTGATAGGAAAGTAAAACGTATGTGGTTGTTATTTTGATGAAGTGTCCTACTTTCTAGTCCACTGATACTTGTTCTTACCCAACAGAATGTTGCTGAACATAACGTTTAACTTATTTGCAGTTACATCTGCATCTGATGTCAGCGCTTCAGCAAGTAAATTTTCTGGTCATTTCGCTTAACCACTCTGTTGATCACTCTGAATTCTTCAATATATGTTCGATGTACACCTTTTGAGAGGTTTACAGGTTTTGCTTTGATGCTGCGCGGATTCAGAGGTAAAAGTCCATTGAAAACGTCTTCAACGTGCTCTACCCACGTGTTTCTGTAATCATTTTTTTATCGTTCAATAATTTACCATAAAGCCTATTCCTTGTATCGCAAAGTTGTCTCATGTTGTCTTCACTCACAGATGTTATTGATTCGGTCCTGTGTATTGTATCTCGTTGAAATCCATGTACCTCTGAGTATGCATACATGCGTGAATATAGTACCGTCAATAAAAACTTTGTTGAAGAGTCATAAACTTGCGAACCTCCAGTTTTTCCAATCCATGCTGGTTTTTCACAGAATGAACAGGGTAACCAGATACCTAATTCTTCTCTTTTATCCCAGCTTACAACAGTCTGTGTTCTTTGGTTTTAAATGGTGTCATAAGATTGATCAGTCCATCATTTGAATCAAACAGCGTTATTCATGACACCAAGACGCTATAACATAATATGTCAGATGACGAAACTCATGTAGCTGTTCTGAATTCGACTCAATAATCATATAATTACGTGAGTACCATAAATGTTCTCAAATTCCGACAATTTTTTTGAATGTTTACGGCATGAAATTTTGATTTTGCCTCTATTTTTACTGTCCTCTCCTCTGATATCTTTTTGTGCTTTTACTAAACTACTTTCGAGTACTGAGTAACCTATATCACAGATCATCCATTTTAGACTCACATATAGTGCTGCAGTTATAGAAAGTTCTAGAGTTAAATTCAAGTGATTATTAAATTGACAGTATGAAATAATTAACATTGAATAGATCCAAAGCATCAATTGTAGCAATACAAGAAAGATTCATTTTATTGTATTGTATATTTACGTATATAGGTCTCAACACACACAAAGAATAAGCGAAATTCACGGACAGAGCAGTATCCAATCTAAGAAGCATCATTAAAAAACTAGGTTGTTCTGATGCTGATCTGAAGACACTGATTGACAATGTGACCATCATTGAGGGCTCAAAAAAAACTCTCAACTCATATGAGTTTCGTATATTTCAATGTAATCAAGAATTCAGTTCTATTTTATGGATTGGGCGATTGAAGAACTATGCTTACCATCCTTCACATGTTACAGATTTTTATTAAATGTTCTGTTCAACATATACTGAAGATTCATTTGCCAAATATTATCGGCAACTACGTACTGTGGGAGAGAACAAACCTGATCCTGGCTTAGTCAGTTATTAGAAAATATCATACCGAACGTGGTAAAGATAGTAGTTTGTTGAAAATGCTTCAACTGCTTCAACTTCTAAGCTCTCCCTTTTAACACTCTGTGAACTACATTTAATAAAACTGTCAGGAAGTGCCGCAGAACAGAGTTTTCTTTGTAGAATGCTGATCACTGGCCAAGGCTCCATTCGAGCTCACAGTTACAAGCAAATAAGTATGTTCCACCAACATGGCATGACTTATAAATTTAGAGACTCACTCTCAAAAAACACTTAATTCATTTGGATATTGATCAACAGAACACTTTATGACTAATAATGAAAGGTTATGTTCTTTACTAACCTCTCATGATCAGGGTTTTAATACATTTCATAGTCATCATATTAATTGATTATATTTCACGAATTCAACGAGTACAAACACTTGTTATATAAATCATTTCTCTAAAACATCGTGTATTCTTATAAATCAAATTTATTTTGAAGTGTAAGTTCAAAAAACCGAAAGAAATAAATTATAAGCGTTAATCGATTTGATTTTTATATTTGGAATTGACAAAAATTGTCTATTTTACTTATATTAGGTGAAAAATGCACAATATAGAAGGCGAGAAAAACATTTCACAAAAACGATATCACTTTGTTCCGATTAGATTTAATTAAAACATGATTCATGTAAACTTGTATATTGACGATACACTGATATGAATTTGGTATACAAATCTAATTCTACAAAATAAAATTAGAACTTGTTAAAAATAAACTTCACTTCAAAATTTTAAGCAATATATATATATATTCAATAAATAATGATGGTTATCACTTTTTTCATATACAGTTTTAGTCGAAAAGTCCACACACAATAGGTAAGGGTAAATGTTTGTACATTGAAAATTGACAAAATGTGCTAAAGCAATGCCGAACCACTTACAACGTTCAAAACGAACATCTGGTCTTATAGGAAACCTTAAGCTATATAGAGCAATATAACTTATTGCTCATTTTATTTTAGTTAAAGGGTAAACGGTTGCTTAATCATTACTAATCTATAATGCAATGTTCTTTTTGTTCTCTGAAGCTTTATCCAAGATTCTAAGTAGAGTATGATTTCATATTTTAGACTCATCAGTGTCAGGGAATAAACGTTGGGGATGTACGTAATGATATATGTAGACCAAAATAGTGTGATTGTTTTTAGGAACGTGATTGTTTTGATTTTTGAATTTCACTTAAATAACAAATTGGCCAAAGTTAGACCATCATTATAAAACTGGAAGCAATAGATCACCCTTTCGATCGAGTACGGCACTTTTCAGCAGTACTCATTCACAACCCTGTGAGCGGTAATCCAACTCCGGACCTTTACTTTCAAAGGCGAACGCCTGAACACATAATCAATGAGCCGGCCTTCAACTCAACAATCTCCATAATTCTATGATGAAATTTAATTTAGTTCTCACTAATGAATAGTGGAATTCAACTTTGTCGAATGGTAGGCGGTTGCCCATTGTAGACAATGAATGATGAGCGTGTCATATCGTGAGTTCGCTGAGGTTAAACATTAGCACTGTTGAATGCTGGCTCAGTGTTCAAGAGTTTAAGCACTTTCATTTTGAAGCCGATATTCTGCCTTCGAATCTTGTTTGAAATGTTGTTGAAATGTGTGATTATGTATCGAAAATTCAGCTATTTATTAACTTACGTTCAAGAATCGTATCCGACTGATCAATGTGTTCACTTGATACGTTTTCCCAGATTACATCATTTGGTTTTCTACTATGATTGATATGAATCAGTTTCGGTTGTTTGAACAATGTTGAAAAATTACGTTTTTTCAATTCTGAATAAGTTAACCAACTCACAGGACATCGGTTGTGATCACTTCCTTCACTTAATTGAATATTCCATTCACATGGTATCTCATACAAAATATATTTGTAATTAAATAACACTAAATTTAAAATATCCTGAAATCGATACAAGACAAACAAATGATTGAACTAATGGAAAACTTTTTATCAATAACTATAAGCAAACGGTTCAACATATCGTATAGTTGCATATTTACGTTTTTTTATTTGTTCCCATAGCACATTAGCACAGAGACACAATTGTCAATTGAAATGCCATGGTCGTAGAGGTAATAAAAGTATTAGCAGTAATCGAAGAGATTAGGGTTTGAAGATGTTATTCGAGAAGTATAATTCCGTGAGGTAAGTGAAGAAAGAGAAAGATAGAGGTGGTGAAGAATTCAGATGGTTAGGATTTGACAGAATACAAATACTAAGTGCACCTGAAGCATTGCAGATGGTTTTGAACCACGACATTCAGGGTGTCTAACCATCGATCGCTATCTTCTCGCGGGCCCCATCCATGTAGTCGACACCTACCGACATCACTCAGTCCACTTGTCAGTGATGCCATGGATTTCTGCCCCTAGCTTTAGTCCAGCCTACTCCTACACCAAAATATAGCTCGACGAGGCAGTCAGTGGCAAGGGATACGTAAAACATTTCACAAGCACCTTCACTGATGAAGTTTTATTACTTCGTCTACTGACCTGCCATCATTTCCTAACGACGGCATCGCTTAGTCGTTTTTCCCATAATACACGAGAAATGCTTCGGAGATACCGATGATCGATAAACAGCAACCTGCGAATATTTTCTACTCTAACTGGTCATGTTACACAACCGTAAAGTGGGACGGAGGAAACTACTGCGCGGCACGCCCGTCCTTTATTTAGCAGGCTGGGAAAACATCATCCCGAACTTCCTTGCAGAAGACTCTGCATTTTGTCAGCGACTTCACCGAATAGAACTATGTCATCGGCATATTCTAAGTCAATAACCGAGCCTCTTGTTAGAAGGCCTACTCTCGAAAATTTAGACGAAGATAAAGTTATATCCAGGAGCATGTCCATGACAAAATTAAACAAGAAATTAGAAAAGTAAATATCCCTGACATAAACCACTTGAAGTAAAGAATTCCGGTGACAGTTCGCCATAAGCTCTCATCCGACCAGTAGTTTTGGAGTAGAGAGTTTGTGTAACGTTACTGTATTTCCTTGGTACATCTTTTAATGACAGACACTGCTACAGAACCTCCCGACCTACAGAGTCAAATACCGCCTTACGGTCCAGGAAGACAACTGTTGTAGGATGCCTAAATGTATGTCTGTGTTTGAGGACCAGTCGTAGTGTGAAGATGTGGTCCATACAGCCACGTCTAGGTCTGAAACCAGCCTGGTTTTCTCTAGTCTGCTCTTCACGAGCTATAGTTATGCGTCTAAGTATTATTGAGGGCAATATTTTAGATACTATATTAGTTAGACTTATTCCCCTGTGATTGTCACAAGAAGACTTTTGTCCTTTCTTATAGATTGAAACAATCAGTGATTGAGACCACTCGGATAGGATTACGTCCATTTCCCAGATTGTACCTAAGATCTCAGTCAAACTAGCTGCTAAAAGTGGACCAACATCCTTAAATATCTCAGAGGTCAGTCTATCAGGACCTTCAGCTCGCCTTTGCTTCGGATTTCCTAAAGCATTCTCAGCTTCATAAAGACTAGGGGGACTTAAGTCGATTTGCCATTCAGGATGACCGGAGATCGTGGGTAACCAAAGAGTGGCTTGACGCCAGTTGAACTGATCCCTCAAGTGTTTTTCTCATCGGTCCAGTCTCCTGGATTGAGAATGGACAATATGACCATCCTTTTCCGAAATAGTCTCACTTACACTAGGATTCCTAATACCAGTTTCCTTGATGAGCATAAGTAGTTGCCTACTGTTGCCTATTACCTCCGCCTTTTCCATCGCTTTTGCTTTCGCCACCCACCACTGTCCTCGATCATTGCGTAGGCTTCCTGTCTGCCTACGTCTAAGTTGACTCCGCTCTTCATCATACTCAGAGCCATGCGGGATGAGCTTTTCAGCATCGATCATTTAGAGTAGATGCAAGTGAAATCCACTGCTTCTCCCTAATCTTATGGTTCACCTTACTAGCAGATATCACGGCTGTTTCCACAGCCTTTTGATATCATTTCAAGCTGCCTCAGAGCAGGCGTCACCTACTAAATGACTGCCTAGCGGTTTTTGTAGTTGTTCCAGAAATATATTCTTAGCTTTATTATCATTAGCTAGAGCGCTAAGAGGTTTTATTGCGATGTTTTTTCAGCGTCTAATAAGAAGCCAACAAATGCACACTCGCACTAGAACATGGTTTGAGTCAAACATGTGCTCCAGAATGAGCAACAGTCTACAATAGAGCATCTACATCAGTGGATTATAGCGATGCGATCTAGTTGAGTCCATAGTTGATTCGGCTTTGGTGGTGACCAGTTATAAAGATATTTCACCTTATGCCTAAATTTAGTGTCTGCGATAAACAGGCGGTTATCTGACCATAGTTGCAGCAGACGGTCGCCATTATCTATTCTATTAGCTGCGACACCACAAGATCCACCCAGATTTCTTTCCTATTCACCTAGTCTGCCTACTTGAGCATCAAGGTCGCCAGCCATTATCACTATTTCAGAGTGCCTAACATTTTGAAGAAGTTAAGAGAGGATTCCTTAAAACTTTTATGTCATCTGAATTGCAGACAGAGGGAGAGTAGGCGGATAGGAAGTAGAGGCAACGGCGAATCTCCCTATGCTTCCGAGTTCGTACTGTTCCATTACGTAGAACGGCGCGCGAGCGACTGTCTGTCGGGATCCAGTCTAAAGTAGATAGCTCTGCCGTAGGACTAAATACTATACCTACGCCTGCGAGGTCACGGGAGGCAACATCAGTGCTACCAGATACACGAAGTTTAAACCGTGTTGTTTCTTTATCCGCAGTGGGTGAAATCAAATCGATGATTTTACTATGATCTTGTGTGCGCGTTTCAGAGACACAACATACATCGATCGCACTGTATTCCAGAGTTCTAGTTAATGTAGCTTGTTGCCCTATTCGTCCTAAGGTTCGAACAATAAAAGCTCCAAAATGTAATTTAGTACGGGTTTTCAAGAGACCAGAAATAATGATTCGTGAGCCTAAACCGTTTGCTTCAGTGGCGCGAGGTGATACACGATCGAGAGAAGTGTTGGCTGAGGAGATAAGAGAGTTATCAGGAGGCATAGAAAGTATTTGATTGTGGCTAATTCGTTCCTGTGTGCTTTAATGGGTATTAGGGCGGATGTAACTTCCAGGCTGCCCACACCGTGGAAGGGTTCTGGTTGTCAGAATCGGCATTGGTCAAATGGGTTCCGAAGGAACTCGGCTTTCATCATAAGACGTCACAACTTCTGAATGAAGACCTAACTGCTAGAGCAGGGTTTATACGAATTGAACTTTTTCTCCCTTGTTAACGTTTTTCTGGCAAGTTAGTCTTTTCAACCCTCCTCCTTTAAACAGACTTAGAACCAGCGGTAGCCTCAGAAAGTATACAGGTGGAGTTCGTTCCTACTAGCAATACGTGCATTATACGAAAAGCGGAGCAATACAGTTGTAAATCAGAGATTTCAACTTCCAATACTAACGACTCAACTACACGAGCGACAGGAAGATCTCAGATATAAGTGCTTTATAAATTACCGGTATGAATCGTTATCTAATCTTTTGTAAGAGTACATTGGCTGGGTACATTTCGAGAAAATGCATAAGAATAGATCATCTTCAAAAAAGTCTCCAAAAGTCTTCCTCTTAAAGTTTGAATAACAAACAAATTAGATTCGATTCTCGGGGTGAACATTGATACTAGAAACGATGATGAGTCCCATATGGAATTAGGCGCAAGTTCTGAATTCCATTTAATTTCATTTCTGAATTTCATCTTTTAACCGTTACCTGTTTCCATTTAGTCCAAAACCTTTTCAACAGTTTTTCCGTTATTTTAATTTGCCCCATTACACTTTTTTACGTAGTGCAATTTGTGATCTTTATTGCATCATGATGGCTTGGAGAACTTATAAAACTATAAAAGCCAACATTCAAATGTAACAGGTGTTCATTGACAGTTATCTGAACTAGGTACTATGGATCCGTTAGACAGATAATGTCAATAACAATCTATTGTAGTAGAAGATCAACCAGATTTCAGCTAAGTAAGAAATTATGAAAATGATTAACCCGAAATTGCTTTACTCTACAAAACAATATTCCTGATAAACATGCAAGTGTTTAAATTACCTGCTCTCCTGTGATTAAAGTACCTTGTTTATCCAATGCATCCCTTGTTAAAGATATCCATATTTTATTCCATGAAGTCTGTCTTAGTTTGGACAGATCAAATAACATTACACCATTATTATATCCATAACCCTTAAAAATAAAGATTGTACATATGACTGATTACATTTTACAATAGACATAGGTAAATTGTTTGTACGGTAGTTGTTATTTACTGTTTTCAACTACAGAATTTAGAAACTGTTCTAAATTTTATCTTTCGGTTCATTCCGGCAAGACGAAGGAGAACTAAACTGAGATACTGTTATAATTGCTGCTTGTCTATATATTGTTAACCAAGTGTTCCTTGAAGATTTCATCCCAGAAGTATAATTATATCTTATGAGAAATCACTCATCTCTAAATCTGGTAGATACTAATGGTCGTTTATGATTACTCCATACAACCGAGAGTTCCTGTTGCGAATATTTCACTAAGCTAACAGCAATAATTCAAATTGATGACTGAATTCAATTCGCATTACTTACTGGTTAAATGTGACAGTTGTTTCAATGAATCACTCAACCAGTATAAAAAAATCCATGCTTACAAAATGAAATAATGAATATTTATAAAAATGTTTGAACTTACTTCCCAATTACTTTCTAACGTTTGCATAACAGTTTGAAAATAAACATTTTGTTCTAATCCAATACCTATACTCTTTGATAAAATATTTGAACAAAAGTTTGTAAAGGAGATTTAGTTGAATTGTAAAATTACAACTTAAAGTCATCAATAATACTATCTATTATTATTTAGTAAAATCAATGAATAAAATGAAACCAATTGATTCCTTATGCTTATTAAGTGCACTTATCAGTCGATATAGCATGAATCATGGTACATTTGTTGCATATTATTTTCTCAACACAACAACCTCACATAATTTTTTCAATGCATTTTTAGCTTCATTAATATACTGTCATATTTCAGTTGTTATATAATATTGTTGATTGATTGAAGTTTGACACCAACATCACAGGATGCCAACACACTGGATAACAGATTAGCTATATATAACGAAAGAGATCAAGGGTCGTGAGTTACGTTTACATGTGCTGGGTCCCACACTGAAACAAAACAGTGATCTAGTGCTTCTAGGTTTATTTCTAATGGTTTTCGATCAGTCAGTGATCGATTCATGATTTCAATAAATCTTGAAAATCTACACAACTCTACAATGAATATCAAATGATCAATCATCTTGGAAATTCCAATTATTCATTTTCCTCGCGAAAATGATTTTATTATCAAGATATGATATGCTTTCCAAAAGAAAATTGTTCACTGAATAATAAACATTAAAATATTATTCTAAACAAACCTGAGTATCGTTGAAATTTTCAAAGTGATTCCATAATTCAATGATGTCTGTATTAAGGAGCATGTCAATGTCTAGTATAATAACCTGAAAGTGAAAATTCACAATTTTGTAAGTAAAACTTGAAAATAGTGAATAAAGCATAATCGATCATTGTTATGACACCATTAGATAGAAATACAGAAGCACTACACGGACGTTTCAGCAGTGCGCATCCATCACTTCCACAAAGCCAGCACTCAAAAGTGTTGATATCTAACTTGAATCAATAGACGGTATTGTGTGAGTTCACCGATTGCCTTCGGTAAATAACTGCTTACATCAGGCAGGGTTGAACTACATTGGTTAATTTCCCGTGTGAAACTGAAAGTATTAGGTTCGGTTCACACGAATGCGTTTGGTGAATAGTGAATGTCTCATATAAAAACGACATTGCAGCGATTTCGCGTTTGTAATGTAGGTCTAATATTGATTGATTCATAATTTCAATGAAGCGCAATAATCTACACAACTACATAATGAAACGCATCTGTCTATAAGTGTATAAGTAAGGGTAACACAATACTCTGACAATCTGAAGAAAATATACAACTAAAGTGGGCGATTCTGGTGGATTTTCTCCTTCTAATCTGTTTGTATTGATGATGTTGTTCAGCAGAGAAATCAAATCGAATTCAAATTTAGCTGAAAAAATTAATTCCACCCATGAAATCATATTATTTGCATATAGTTTATCAGATGAGGAATCATAAATACGAAAAAACGCACATACAGGATTTTAATGCTAGCCGTATTCTATCTATTTCATTTGTCATAATGGCTACTTCATGGTAATCTGTGTAAGATGCTTATATACCTAATAAGAATCATTAAATATCAACGATGCGATAATCAAAGCTATTTCTAATTACCATTAAACTGAAACACCCTTGTCATTCATTGTTACACCTGAAGAAGTGAATGGAATTACCGTTTGGATTATGCACAAGATATAAGGGACATTTTTGATCGTCATAAAATAGTTTTCTGATTTGATTGTGTTAGAAAGCTCAAATTTCATCCATGCTTATACCATTCATTGCATCATGAGTAAGAGCAAAATATTTCGACTCACTTTACTGATATGTGTTGGAAGAATTTCAGTAAGCATTAATTTTAAAAATGGTTTACAACCAGAATAATGTGTAGATTTAATCCATTGAAGATTTTCCTGCAAAATATTACAAAACACAGGGCGAAACAAATCATACTAATAATATTTTACCGATACAAAATCATTTTGGCTGTTCAGTTTTATTAATACTATGAGTCAATCAATCTATGGTATGACAGGATCAAACGATGACCACCTCACATATAACAAATGACGAAAGTGTTTCTCGAACAGGGAATAACTTCATTCTCAAAAATTATGGTTTCATTGGTCGAATATGTTTGATTCATAATATAAAACCGTTGTACTCAACAAAATACCTGGCCTGCTAAGAAGAAGATAAAAATTGAAGTGAACTAAACAGTACTAGGAAATATCTTTTACTGTGGATAATATGAAGTCATTGTTGTAACAGTGACTGCAGACTTTTCAAAACTGGTTAGAAATAATAAAAATCTGAAGTGAAGTGCTTTCCAATCATTCACGTTTTTGAAACATTATGGAAATTGGTGAATTGTTTCCCGAATTTCGTATAGAAGTGCAAAATGTAAATCGAACGAATTAATGTATCATTTTCCCACAACTTGGACTGTTAACTAGCTGTCAATTAGGCGATGTAGTAGCCATTCAAGATCCTTTTGATGCTGAAGTAAACCGAGTTTTAGAAATAAAGATCAAATTTGGCTACAAACTAGAAGGTTTAGTCATTGAGTTTTTAAGGCCAATGATACCTTATTAAATGCACACGAAGGACCAAGGAAGTAGTAAAATAAAAAGTGTGGCGGTTAACCCTGTTTCTCCCAGGGTGTAATACATGACAGTCTGAAAGCAGAGAGGCAATTTATTTTCCCGTCCACCCATGACTCTACTGTATACAAATGTTAACGAAAGGATGCAGAGTGCTTAACTGAATGAAAGTATGTCATATTCACATAAAATCCAGGTCGAAGAGGAACTGCAACTAAATGAGTATCTTTATTTGAATATTTTTGAAAACTACAAGAGATGCAATATCAGGAACAGTGAAATGTAATTACGGTAACATTCAAACAACTCGTACAAATGAATTTTTCTGAACAAACTGCAGTAGCAATTGTCGGCGACCATACCAAGTTGAAAACATCGGTTCTCGTCCGATCACCGAAGTTAAGCAACGTTGGGCACGGTTAGTACTTGCATTCTCCACCATCTCAAAGTGTCTTTCGGAAATCAAAAGGTAAGTGGATAGCAATCGAAACGAACAGTGATCGATTTAATTCCCAGAATGAACGTCAACATCACGATGCACGTACATTCTGTTTATAATAAGTACCGAAAAGGACGAAATGTGCAACCTAAATTCCACTGCTAACAACATCCACCTCTGCTTAGAAAACATACTTTGTCTCGTGATAAGCTAATTGCTTTCGGTGAATACTGAAATCTAAACACTACGGTCGTGCATAGTGTTTCTGTCGGAAAACGAATAACGAAATTGTTCAGATCGTTCAGATATTATTCATCTTTTTGCTAGAGGATCTAATACTTTAAAGTGAGTGAAAGAAACGTGCAGTGTAATATCAGCATAATAATAATAATATTAACATTCAGGTTATCGATATTTTTTTTCCAATTCCCACTTGATGTGAAGTTAAGTATCATTGAATTCATGATTTGTTCAAAATACTTAACCGAATATCTCATGTTCTATTTCTACTTCAAGATAAACAGTTCACGTATTTACATAAACATACAGTGAAACAATGAATTGTGAGCCAACCATTTGACTAATGTCAGTTTGTCAATGAAATCATTAGAATGATATGTTTTTTCTATCAACAACTACAAAATCGTAAAAAAATAATTACTAGTTTCAACTTTTGACGAAAATGATGAACAGTTTGATTGATCGTCTTAACTCTAGTTAAAAATGTTAGGGACGATAAATCCCTAAAACTCGCTTAATAAAGGTTTTCATTTTGGATTTTATTCATTGGGCTGATGAGTTAACCTTAAGATTACTTTTCTCAACAGGAAAATTCTTGGCTGTGATTAGTTGATGTGTTATTTTAGTTCTCCCAAGGACGTTTCTATGATGTATAAATAAATGAGATTTGTGTGCTTCAGATGATTATATTTTCTGGATGCTTGTAGAATACACTTTCTAAGCCATATCAAAACTTTTTGTTCAGTTACTTGGGGCAGCAGATAAGATTAACCTATCGTGTCATCGGTTCATAGTCTTGTTCGCGTTTATCGACTAACGTGAATACGTAAAAGTCTCAAGCATATCAATCTGATGAGCACAACAAAAAAACTATTCTCATTTTACAACTAAACAATAAGAATAGTGATTTTCAGTCACCGATTGTACAGAAAAAATGAACTAATTTTCATCGTTGAGTAGTATCCAATGAGTAACTTTGACAAATAATGATAATAATAATAATAAAAAGAATTAGAGCAAGAAATCAAAATGTCATGTAACAACTTACCAAATGATCTTTGCAACTATAGAAATAATACTCCATATTATGTACTTTCCACGAATTCATTAAATCTATTAAAGCACTATTCGATGACATAGTAGTAATTAAAAAATGAAATACAGTTGTATATGATGGACTCAGCAGATTCGTGATATTGTGCTGAAAATTCTCATTAAATCGATCACAAAAATTTGACACACAACAATTTTTCAAATCACAACGAAATCTTCCATTTTGATGATAAAAAATCGATTTCATTAAACTGTTCAAGTATTGTAGACCATGATCACCGTCGAATAAAATGACAATGTGAATTTTGTTCTCCTGGAAGTGTAAAATGATAATCTGTTACAGTAATATATGCGGTTATGAAACTAGTGTAACGATTCCATACTATAAAAACAAGATTTAGGGGAGGTCACAAAATGTCAGGTAGTGTGTCAACCTTTTGTATCAACGAAATAATGCCTCGTATATGATTTTCTATGTACATAATGTTGAACATTCTTTACTAACGTAATCGTTGAATGTTGATTCGTACTCTATTCTGGATCGCTGTTTTTGAGCAAGGTATTTACTACCTTTAGTTAATATTTATTCTGAAATGACAGTACATTACAAGAGGCATGCCATTTTATAGGCTACATCAAATTAAGTATAAAAGTCAGTTTCTGACAGCCCATTCACACCATGTTGCTGACAGAAACAGTATGATACAGCCAAAGTTTCAATAGGAGAGTACAAATTGGGGAAATTGGTTTGTTTAAATTGGTAGTGAATTTGTTTGTAAAAGTAAAATGGGATGCGCTTTATACAAGCTGTGATCCGGACATGCATATACATAGGGTGCATGTTCCCTAGAGGCGCTATGAATTTTCCACTGTGAATAGGGTTCATGCAACAAATCACAAGAGTAAGAGTGACGGTTGTTGATGGGAACTAAAACATGTCACCTAAAACTTTGATCTGTTATTCATTAGGCCATTTGGTTGATAGAAATGACCTCTTTCCCAATTATTATCTAGTGCATTTAGTATACTAATTACAAATTGGTCTTATTGTTTCTTGAACAGTGAATACAGTTGAACAATTTCCCCTTCCAGGTAATATAAAAATTTTAACCTAACCAAACAAGCTGATGACAATTAGTAAACATATGATTTATAATCAGTAATACACCTAATAATCTGGTGTACTTATCTAGAACTTAATTACTATTATATACTGAAGTGTCCATATAAACATCTAGAATGTCAACATGAAATGCTCAATGTTCAATGTTTTATACACTCAAAATTAAAGAAAGAAAAAACTATTTATCACTAAAACAACTTACCAATGAATTAGTTTTATAAAATAAATCTGTTGCATAATCGTATTTACCATAAATTAAATTAAAAATTTTCCATGTAATTAAAGTAATTGTTATAAGTAATGGAAATAAAAGTTTATGATTGAATTGATGATATTCTTTAGCATAATTCACTAATAAATAATATTTGTGTTGTTTAAACCAATTTGTAAATAATTTTGTCATATTTTAAAAAAACAGAGGCAACATGTAGAGAAACGAGTTAAAAGTTGTTAATTTGTAATTGACAATTAATTTTTGTTTTAGTTGTACACTTTATTACCAATCACACTTTAGAATTGTGTAACAACTGAATTATCAGAGCTGTTTTTACATGTTATTTGATGATATTTATAAGTAATATTTAATATTACTGTGATTGGTTAGAAATGGATTGATATTGATTTAAATAAAGATCATGATAAGTTATTAATGTTAAGTGTTTTTGACTGATAAAGAATCACTTGAAATCATTTAAAATATCAAACCATTGAGATATTGAACTGAGCTACATCATAGACGTAGTTTTTTACCCTTTGATTTTATTGTTGAACTTTCTACTACTTACGTTACAAATGCGTTCAATAATCAAGCGGATCACTGAAATACAGTTGTGGATGAGTGACAAATTCCGAAAATATGCTTCACCGTAATTGTGTATATGTAAGAACATCGATAGAAACCTCCCAAGTGAAAGATTGGACTCAACTAAGATATATAAATTGTGTTAAACACACTAGAATCCTTTCTACAGTGAAATTAACAGTTATAATGAACGCAGACTTCAAAACTAAATGGCAATGTGGCCTGTTTAGAGAAGGATTAGTTTATTGACAAAAGATTCAGATTTCCATCTGTTAAATAAATCGATTAATAACTGTCATCCTTCACATAATTTCTAGGCTTCATGAATTTCAATTGCTCCATGTACTCCGATATCATTCACCAGACATCAATAACAACAACCGACTGCAGGAGAGAAGAGACAAGATTCCAACTGAGTACAAAAAAGCGCCGCAGATCAATAGGGCACATATTAAGGAAGGCGTCTAACTAAGTCGCAAAACAAGCCTTTACTTGGAATCTCAAGGCCCGAAGTAAAGCAGAGGAGTTAAGAACACATTAGACGAGAATTGGAAGCAGAGATGTAAAGAGAAAGTGGTATTTAGTAGAAATGGGAAGGACGGCCAAATAGAGAGTGGGTTGGCAAACGCCGTCCGGCGGCCCATGCATATTCGAGTAGTACTTAGTTTTGGGTATACCAATCTAACTATTAATTAGTGTGTTAGTGCAGTTAAATATTCATTTTCATTTATTTCCTGTAATGAATCAAATCATTCCTTGAGAAAATCTGTGTTTCGACTTGCATTAAACACTTCACAATCTATCATTGAAATACCATAATGTTGCTTCCGTCACTTCAGTGATAAGATGTTATATTATTTTAATTATGTTCAGTAACTATTCATTTACATTTGTCTTCCATGTTATCATTTGATATTGTACCGAATACAGTGATTTCAGGCTTCATGTATTTATAATCAGGACGTAAGGATAAAATACATCCGTAATGCTCATTTCAGATATATACAGTCTATACAGTCATTCTAGTTAGATGCAATGATCTTTCATTTTTTCCTTCAATATACATACATGATGAATATTTGATTATCGATGCAATGTTTGAAAATCATTTTCAAATAAACTTCAATCTTCATAATCCATTGAAGATTCAATAGAGACTTGCAAACATGTTGGGTAAATAGACATTTCGATGGTGGTTTATCATTGTCTCATCCGCTGTGGAAGAGGATGAATCCGCTTCCAGCTGAGAAAGAAATATAAGGAAATGACATTTGAGTGTATCGAACAAACCTTGCGGGAATCCAGAAACTACGTGACAAGACAAGCTCTCACGTGGAATCCTCACGTCAAAAGAGATACAGCAAGACCAGAGAACATGATGAATAGAGGATTGTAGGCAGTCATCGAGGGAATGAACTATACGTGGCAACTTACGGAAAGAATACTCCAGATAGAGCATAAAGGAGAATCCTGTTTGGTAGCCTGTGTTTAATGAGTAGTAACAGGCTTAAGTAAGTAGGTTTTGTATTGCTAACCCTGGATTACTTATTTATGACGCGTTCTGGTCTTTCTATGAACGATTACAAGAGTCATTTTTGGTAAGGAAATGTTTACTCATAACTGACTTCACTGGTATTGCCCAAAACTACAATGAAGCACCAGTTAAACAGTGCAACACACTCAAATACAACACCATATTTATTGATTCAAACAAATCCTTTAGGTTATATTCACTACGATTTGGGATTTATTGTATCCACTCGCCACGTGACATAATCGGAAAGACTGTGAGTTTGGACTTTCCTTATGGTGTAAATCCCGTACATCTCCGTATTGGGGACCGTTAGAAAAGAACAAGAGTCGTAGACACAATTTATTTATTATTCAAAATATTTTAAAGATTGATAAAAATATCGGATTTATAACAAATATACATGATCGATATGGCCATCGAATCATTTGAACAGTAAGTCGATAATGCTAGTCATATGACTATATGCGTAGGTTGTAAGCAATGAACAAGCATACATGCACATACAAGCTCAACAATGATAAAAATACAAACTATATATATGAGGTGCTATAATGGCTCTCTTCCAGCAAACAATAGTGCATAAGTGTCTACCTTTGCAAAAACCTTATCAGAAAATAGCAAACTTTACGAGACATAAAGTTCTCTTGCTTGTGTTAGTTTGAGTTTGTGTGCATTAGTTAGGTAAGATAATAACAGATGATCAAAATTCGAAATACGCAAACTGCATCAAATCTAATAATAACTAAGTTAAAATTTTCGACCCCTGAATAAACGAAGTGAGAAGCAAAATATCATTCCCAAAATGGCGAAGAAAATTATCAGTTCAAAATCGTAGCCATATATCTTTGGGCCAATCTGACTCTCCGTCCATATCTAAAAGTTGGAGGACTTTCTTCGCAGTACTGATTCGCTGCTCTTGTTCCAAAACCATGCGTTACCTGAGCAAATCAAGTGGACTATGCACTGATCCACATTTATTTCACGACTGGTCTGATTTATCATCCTTTAAAAATAGTGAATTAATTTAAACTGTTAGAACTGAAACAGGAAGCCAAATCAAATATTAGAGATTAGAACAATTAGTAGCCATTCATGTAGATAGTTCAAAGAGAGTTCGTTTATTGTTTTGTAATTTTTTCACAGATTAAATTCATTTCATCATCTGTGATTTACAAACTATCAATCTATGATCATTTCATATTAGTGAACAAATATTAGTTTGAATGTAATTTTCGTAGAGAAAATTCATTGTCAATAGGTTGTTTAATAGCAAATTTAAAAAATAGGTCAGTTTATATTTCGAGGTCAAGAATGATAATTGAAGAAACAATAAAGGATCCATCATCAAAATGTAGGTACTTACTTGAAATAAGGAAATGCTAAATAGGTAATCGTATTTTCAATTGTTTCAAATTGTTCGCACATATATGTTGATGACCTATACTTACACTCGTTTCTGTCAAAATTATTACCTTATAAGTCTTCAAAATAAAACATTTAAATATGTACATCTGTGCCTTGATTGATTTTGTTGAAGAATAAAGAGTGTTTAGTGACAGTTGCAATGTTTATTATCTGTTTCACTGTTAATTATACGTATTTCATGGTAGTAGAACTGATCAACATACTGTTTTCATTGTTTTCTGATATTTTCGTTGCACAGTGAAACATGTTTAGCATTCGAGGCATTAGGAAGTCATTCCGAAATCTGAATGTGTTTGCCTTCTACAAACTTGCTTGCCTTCTATATTTCATAGATAAGTTCATTATTAGTCTCGGACTTCTTATATCTTCTTTTGCACACCTGCTTACTTACTTGCCTTACCTACTTACCACACTCACTTGCTACAGGCGACGCTGAATGTCGTGGTTGATATGCTAACTTGAAATACTGTGAGCAGGAAATACTCAAACGATTCTTGTTTCCACTTTGTCAATGGGAAACTAGTAACTTTTAGGCATATTCTTCTCTTATTATACAGAAATATACGTACTAGTAACTGAGTACCGGACTCGTGCAGTAAATCGATTAGTTACCACAATATCACCATTATAGCGAACTGAAGATAAAACTGATTTTAGACTTCAATGAAATATACAGACAAACAGCGACAACGTTTTGATTTGACCGGTTGTTGGATTGATTTGATTGACTTCTTATTTTTCATATCTTATCAGTCCTAATTTTTAGCTAATTTGCATTCTCTGCCTTCAGTTTGTTTCGTATAACTTATTTTCTAGGTACTACTACTGTGATGAGAGCTACTTATAAGTAGTATATGACGAGAGTGTCATCGTTATGTCTGGCAGCAGAAGATGGGAGAAGATAAAGTAATGATGAGTTAGAAAACAATGGAATTTGTATGAAACGCATGAATATTGACAATGGATTGATGTATTGCAACAGGAACAGTCCAGTTCGTTATGATGAACTGATATTTTGCAAATAAACGATTTACGATATGGTTTTCCGATTCTACTGAGCAACTCTGTAATTTTCGTCGAATACAATTCGGTTGTCCCACCTGTGTTCTCGTTCACTACACTACTACTATTTGGCAATACTCAGTGTCTAGTCAGGCTAGTAGTCTCTAGATATATAGTGTAACAAACACCTACTCGATGTGTAATATATGCACAAATCAATAAAATGCACCTCATTTGATATCGAAGTGACGTCTTCACAACGCTTGGGATTAGTAATTTTAGTTCTTTCACATTCATTTCACTTTTTTTCTAAGCACAAAGATCTTAGTTACGAAACATCCAGTTTGTTGACAGTGATAAGGTTAGATGTAGCTACCAGTTGTCATTTGCTACATCAATTGCATTTTCTTTCCAGAACGATGACGTGTTAATCACCATTGAAAACTAGCGAGTTGAGAAGTGTTTCCTAAAAGAGTAGTTCTTTTGAACTTATAATTCACGTATATCAAAGCTGTGTGGTTCGAAATTGGAACAGCGTAACACTGGGTGTGTTGGGTTTTCGGTTGCCGTTTTTGAAGATGGCTGCAATGCAAAGAGAAAGTTTGAAAATCGGTGTATAATGGTATATACATTGCATGCTGAGCTGATTTCAACATGTCATGCTCTTAAATATCTAACGCCTAAATACCACTGTCTTGTTTGTTCCTGATTTGCAAGTAGGCTAGAAGAAATTATATGTGAACAAACCAGG